CGCTTAATTAGAATATTAAGAAAGAGACCAATGTCTTCGTTTCTTTGTTGAAACCTGCAGACAGTGCTGATATACAGTCTTATAGCAGACCTCTGCCAGTTCTTTACAAATTATTTACAACTCATTAATAATGATCCTGCAGTTTTGGTTTCTAAGCTGCGTAGTTGGGCCGCTGACATTATATAAGGCAATAACAAAAATCATGTGCTTATTAAATTCGCTTTTGAAACTGAAGCTGAAATAGGACAAGCGGAGATGTTACAGTACCATCAGGGTTGTAGGAAATTCTGTGGTGAAAAACAGATTTAGTTCAGTATTAACCCCTAGTTTTTGTGCAAATAAATGTGAGGAAAAGAAAGTGACGCTTTCAAAGTAATTTGGTTTCTTCACTTTTAATTTACACTTTTCTGTTTTCGACAGATAATGAAATAGATTAACGTAAATGGAGCACCTGATGATGGCACTGTAGTGCCGAAACATGATGTGAAATAACAAGTGAAATTGAGTGCACTAAAAGACGGACACTGCATACATATCATGGAAGATAATGCTTAATTTCTTGTAAAATGAAGTATTTAATCTCTATATATTCAAGACACATAAGCGCTAGCTCTTTATTTCAGTTTGAAATGTTACATTTTCATAACTTCAACTGAAATTGCTAAAATGAAATAAATAACTGAATATGTGAAATGTTAGCGACGGATCATAGTAACTGAAAAGAATAAATGGGATTTTGTAATATAATAATGAGTATTCAGCAAGAAAAGCTACATACAAGAAGGAAATTCGGCTCGAAATTATAGGCCTTAATATACAAACGATCAGTCTAAATGGCTTTCGTTACCAACAATGAGTCACAATACAAAATTCAACTGTCCTCCAAATACACAATTCTGCCTTCATTTCAAATACTGGACCCAACTACACATTTCCAGCCTTCCGGTACAGCAAGTGGGTCTAAATAGGCAGTTTCGTTTAGCCTAAATACACTGCTTTAGTCTTTCGGTGCAAACAGTGGAGTTAAAATGCCTTTGCGTAATTAACGGTCCGAGTGCATGCACGGCTTTGGCCTTGTGGTGCAAGCAGTGAGCCACGGTGAAAAGTTTGTAGTTCCCAGTGTAAACAGGGGGCATGAACACGTAGCTTCTGCTGGTATATTCGGAACTTTCAGGTTTCAGTAGCAGTCGATTCAACGAGAAAAGTAAAGATATGAAGCTTCTCATTGTGTAATTATCTCCATTATAATTATACGCCATTTGCCTTAATTCCAGAGACTATTTCATGATAAGTATTCCTCACAGCGACCGATCTCGGTGGCCAGCCGCACGGTTTAAGGTATGAACTGACTTCGCCAGCTCAAACACTGGGATCGTGCGTTCGAATCCCACGCAAGGCATGGATGTCTGTGTGTGCGTTTATTCTGTGATTGTGTTGTCTGTGTGCAGGTAGCGACCTTGCGAAGGGCTGATCTCTCGTCCAAGGAGTCCTACCAACTGTGTAGAAATTAAGAAACTGAAAGAGCGGCCGAGGTCCAACAAAGGACTGTGGAGTCACAGACAAATTCCTCACAGCATAGAACCAAAACGTCCATGTTAAGTCTAATGTTATCGCCGTAACGTCGCCAATTTTGCTATCCAAAAATTACATAACAATGATGTTAACCTAAAAATATACAGAGTGGGCCAAAAACAAGACCGTATTTGTCAAACAGTACTGACTGACTGACGGTCAGTCGCAATGTAACTGATTTTTACTTGGACAATTTCAGTTTTCAAATGATAGTGACAGAAGTGGAGAGTGCAAGGACAGATGGAGTAAGTGCAGATCAGTAATCGAATACAGAATTGGAACCAGGAGTACAGAAGAATGCAGGAGGTCGGCGTGTGAGGATTTAACGTGTGATTTGATGACTTTGTTCATGTGTAATACTTGGAGCGTGTAATCCAGTGAGACTGTTATATTTTCTGTGATGAGATCCGTTGCCAGGATACGACTAGTGAAGACTGGGAATCCTAGTGCGTTTACAGCGGTGGACTGGAAAGTGTGTAAATCAGCTATAGCGCTGTATTTAAGTGTGATTAAGAGAGACTATAACCGAAGGGCCAATAAATTCAATCATCTGAACTATAAACCATCATTTCCGTCATGCGTTCCACCCTACACGTGACAATATTATACCGTCAAGAAAGGATGACGCGAGAAACTGAGGAAGAAAGAAAGCACGAAGACAGATAACTCAGTGACAAAGAAGGAAGCACTTAAACACAGAAGAAGCTAACAGGCACGTTTCCATTATCTGCTTAACCTGCGCAATTTTTTAGAAATTGTGTTCAATTCATCTTGGTGGATGTGCAGTCCTGTAAATGACCCAAGGCCAGCAGCGGTCTCTGCAAGCCTCAGAGTAAAACAGGAAGGCCATACGGTTGCTGTGACACGCCATGTGTCTCGTGTTTACGTATGAATAGTGCTTGAGTGGCCGGGTACTTCGTAGCTACTGAAATCAAAACAAGGGTTGGTCTATATTTAATTAGCGCCCCCCGGGAATGGGAATCCCTCTTCTCATCTATTTGCAAGATGGGGGAGGGGAGCACAACAACCGTCGGGATAACGACCAATCGACGCCATAACACAACTATACTGAGGTAGTGGCACTCGCCATTGGACCTCAGCAGAAGTGAAACTGTAGCGAAAACATACCCCTATTTACATGACTGTAATTTCCATCGAAAGTCAGAACAGATTTATCGCTTGTATATTATTCAACAAAACGTAAAAGTGTACAGTTAGTGAAAAGTAAAGATATCCCTGCAACAGGCAGTGGAGGGCCATAG